GTGGGGTCAGCTGGGGGGTGGGGGGAAGCCCTAGCACGGGGTGGACGTGGTCATGTCGGCCTCTGCTGCGGGGCGAGAAGAGGAGGACGGGGCTGTTATTCACCACGGGGAGGTGGCGAGGAAAGGGAAGCAGGATGGGGGGACAGCCGTGCCAGCTCCCCACCAGCCCGTCCTGAGCCAAGACACCGCCTTCTGCTCCTTCCTCCCCTCCCCTGCTGCACGTGCCCCAAGACATTTCATAAAACAAGAAGCACAAATGAAGACAAACGTCCCTCCCTGAAGCCTGCACCCATCCCGAACCCCACAGCAGAAATCTGCACGTCTCAGTGGGAAGCTTTGTCCCCGCTTGCCGTGGTGGCTGCAGGGCCGGGGGGTCCCGGGTCGCTGGGCGATGCTGGGAGCTCCGTGCACCCCACGTGCGCTGGGCTACGGGGCCGTGCTGGCGTTAAACTCGGACACTCGTGATCTGAGAGTCCCTCCTCGCCTTTCCCAGGACAAAGCTGAAGCTGAGCACTCGATCAAAACCGCATGAAAGCAGAAGGGAGAGCAGCTCGGCTTTGTAATAGATCCCCCTCGTCAGAAAAAGAATAAATTATAGGTACAGCAGCCTGTCACGCCTTGCTGTCCTCAGCCTTCTTGAATATTCATTTGGGGTAACTCGCTAAACCTGCCGTGCGGTCAGCGCACAATTCAGCGGCACAGCAAAAATCCCAAGAGGAAATTAAAAGGGGGTTGGAAACCCACAGCCGTGCCCCGTGGGAGTGGGGGGCTCCGGGGCGGGATGCTGCCCTCGCTCGTGCCCGTGGGTCTGACCGGCGGCAGCGATGGCGGGGCTGGATCTGAATCGACACGGAACGTGGGTCTGACCGTCGGCAGCGATGGCGGGGCTGGATCTGAATCGACACGGAAAAAGGCAAAAATCTGGTCTTCCTTCAAACGGAGCGAGCTGCCCACCCGCTCCCGCGCCGTGCCGGCAGGAGCGAGGTGCCCGATCCTCAGCTCTGTGCCGGCCAAGCAGCTCGTGACGGCGCGGAAGGCACGAAGGATGCCGCGCGTCGGCCATGCTCCGGCCTGCGTGACCGCAACCGCCTGAGAGCAAAGCCCCGGGGAAAAAAGGGCAAACCTTTGGCACCGGCCCAAGTGGCACCTTCAGTGGTGGGGTGGGCAGGATGAAAAGCTGAAAAAGTGGAGGAAAACGGGGCAGCGATTTTGGGGAAGAACCAGGGTGGGAGGGGGGGGGTTATGGGGGGG